CAGGTGCAAAGAAAACCAAGAAAACTGCTAAGTCCTAAAAGTTGACCTGAAGCCCGACCGACTATCAACGTCATAAAAGCTATCCTAAGGATTGATCTGAAGCCCGATCGGCTATCAACGTTGTAAGAGATTATCTGAAGCAAGAATGTGCTAAGTCCAAAAATTTGGTATGAAGCCCGAACGGCTGAGTACCAGAGAGAATGGGTTTTTCCTTAAATGAATCATCAGAACTTTCTAATGCCCGAACGGCGATCAACGGCATTAAGAGTAGTTGAGCAAGAAATAAAGTTAGGAAATTGGTTAAGTCCTACAAAATGGGCCGAATCTCGAATGACGAGTAAATCATGCATTAAAGACAGAAAAGATAGTACACAAAATTTCAGGCAAAAAAGGGATATATATCCATCGGTTCTACTGACCGGGAAATACAAGCTATTTAGAGAAAAAGAAAATTACAACAAGTAATGAAAAAGTACATATAAATTATTGGCTAGGGGCCATTTCATCTCCCTCTTCGTCCTCATCTTCATCATCATCAGACAGGGGCTCAGGCTCTCTCCCAGCAGCCCGATCGGCTTCCCTTTGCTGAGCTCGCAGGAATTTCTCAAACTGAGTCTGGATAATATCATCTGTGGGGAGATCAGAAGCCTGAACCGGCCTCCCCAGATGGTTTTGAAGCTGAGTAACGAAGGGACGCAGCAAGACCTGGCCAATTTTGCCATAAAGGTCTGAGACAATGGAGTCGTTCCATTTTTTGGCCTCGGGGTCCTTATCCAAGAGGGCCACCCCTGCCGATAGCCGACCAGCGCCTTTGGGGAAACCCTTCAAGTACGCCCCAAAGGCGAACGGGATTTGGGCCCTTGCATGTTCATCCTTGATGATGGAGAATTCATCAGAGGATTTAAACGTGTCCCGGACGGCGGACAGATCCACGTTCACTTCATAGGGACCGTCCGGGATGCTGGATGGCATTTCTTCGAATTTGACCTGTGCGGCCTCAGCAGCAAGGACCTTCGCCTGGGAAGCTGCGAGTTGGACCTGAAGGGTACCGAGCTCAGCATCCAGCCTCTGCTTTTCCTCCGCAAAGGCTTTCCGTTCGGCCTCCAGAGAGGCGATGGCAGCAGCAGCATGTTGCTCAGCAGAAGACTGGGCAACAATCAGTTCCCGCTCCTTGGCCAGGCGGGCCTCCCGCATCTGAAGGGTGTACAAACCCATCTACAGAATACCGTTCGAGAGTTAGTACTGATTACAGAGAATAAAATAAAGACAAAGCGCAAAAGACAATGTACCTTCAGAGCAGTCAGAGCCAGACATTCTTCAGATTGCTCGACCGGCAACTGAGGAAGGGAAAAGTTGTTGAACCAAGAGGAGGTCGACCAGATCTGGCTCGCGGTAGAGCCGGCCCTCTCTAATACCTCATGAACAGGGTCGGATAGGGAGATCCGCTCGACCTGACCCGTAATATGGTCGGTATGGGTCTCACCAGCATTCGAGGGTTCTCCCCGAACGGAGTCGAAATGATGAGGAAATTGGTGCAGTTGGTCAGAGCCGAACCGGTCGTCAACCAGCATGGCCTCGAATTGGTCCTGGTGGACCTGCTGTATTGGCTGAGGCTCTGGAAGCGGTTCAGAAGGGGCAGCATCCTGAGCGGGAATAATGGTGGGAGTAGGTTGGGGGTTCTTCCGGGATTTTTTCCGCTTACCGGCCCCACCGGCTGCGATAACTCTGCTGTCATCCATAGGTAGATCTGGGTTTGGTGCTGAAAAAAGACAAAAGAGAATGTTAGTATCGAGCGGCCTTAGCGTATGAGAAACTAGAAAAGGAATAAAAGAACGTTTCTCGCACGGGAAGGACCGCCCGGACCATGGCACTTGGTTTCTCAAAACAAGTAAACCCAAGAGAACGGGCAGTACCTATCCCGACCGTAATGAGTCGTTCGGGAGTCAGATAACTCATGATATCCATGCATTTATCCTTCTCCACAGCAAGCACGTCCTTGTAAATTTCTTCAGTGAGGACAGGATCAGGAGTCTTGCGGGGGAAGGCATTCCATTTACGGGGAATTAGGCCGTCCGGGACAGACACGAAGAAAAAACGGTCTTTCCACCCTTTGATTGAAGTTGGGTTTCCCTTGAACAGGATGTGTCCCGTTCGGGCACTAGTGGCCAGATAACCATGGGTTTGTTGGGGGGCTACTTTGAAGAATTGATGGAAGAGTTCTAGGGTTGGTCGGGCGCCGGCATCTTTGCAACGACAAATGAAACCCGCCATTGCCCGATAGGAGTTCGGCATAATCTGGGCCGGTACAACTTCGTAAAAATTGAAGAAAGAAATGAAAAAGGGGTGTAGCGGAAATCTAAGGCCGGTCCTAATTGAGTCAAAGTGGACTATGGTCATTCCGGGCCTATGACGCATTGGGTGAAGCCCAGCTTGCAAACGGAAATCCACCGGGTCAGGGATAAGGGCCGGAATTTCGGCCCTATTGTGAGAGGTCAATTTTTGCCGCCTCTCCCTAATCAATTTTAGGTCAAGGGTATGGCGAGGAACATCGTTGGGACGTCCGGCCGCCATGGAGGCTATTTCGTCCTCGGATTTGGTGTCGTCGGAATCCTCACTGGAGGAAGAAGAAGTGCTAGGGAGGTCCTCCACCTCAGCCCTGGTATTCGTCGCCGTCTCAATAGAAACACCGGCGAACGGAACTGTGATGACATCTACAATGGCGGCGTCACGGTCATCTCCATGAGAGGCCATCTCCGAATCAGAGGAATGCTCTTTGGGGCTCATCTCGATCGAAGCCAGAAATGAAGATAGGGAATCCGGAGTTGGGAAATTACCTGAGCAAAGGAAGCAGGGAGAAATTTGCAGAGGAAACAACGAAGGCCAAGGAATTGCAGAGTCGAAACCCGAAATTGAGAAGTTAGAGGCTAATTTATAGCCTTGAAACCGCCGTGTCGAGAACCAATCAGAGAGCGACACGTCACTAGGAGCATTTAAGCTAAACATGTGTCTAATGAAAAGACTAAACGACGGTTATCATGATGAATATGGGGAAATGAAACGGCAGCCGTCGAATCGCAGCATGGGGAACTGATTACGTTTGTACCCCGATCACCATTCGGGGTATTATAACATTGATATACTTCCTAATGCACTCACTTCGTTCGAGACATCGGAAGTGGGTGACTTGTGTTGGGATATTGACCTAGAGGCCCAATACCCAGATCGGGAAGGCCCAAGATATCCGGCCCAAGCAACGGGCCCATCACTCTGTGATGAATAGATCCAGTAAGAAGACATACCGAACGAAGTTCGGCCCAAATAAAGATTGACCCAGTAAGAAGACATACCGAACGAGGTTCGGGCTATATATCATACTTGGGCCAATTTGACAGCATCTTCAGTGCAGCCCAACATCCCGTTCGAGCAGCGGCCAACCAGCAAGTGGCCAGGTGCAATTAATGCCAGACTATGACATCAGCAAGTGGAAGCATGGATGACCAAGTCGGTGGAACAACGGCCAATCAGCATGAGGCAGCCCATGCTCTCCATTAGTATAAATAGAAGGTTTCAAGTCATTGTAAGGGTTAGCATTTCAATACTCAAGCTCTAGAATAGCATCATTTGCTCTTATTTCTTGTATTAAAGCATAGTTTCCGACTTACCGATCGGGAAATTCCTTGTAATCAGATTGGTTAATTAATACAAGTGAGATTTCGAGTTTTAGTTAGTTCAGATCTTATATTTCTTTACACACTTTGATTCTGGGCCATTCCTGATATATCCAAAGTTCGTGTTGGGCTTTCGGATCTACGGGATTTACCCTCAACAATACGGTATACCAGATTCACGTTGTATCTTGTCAATTTCTTCCTATCTGCTTCTTTATCATTGTTATGGTTGTATGATTGTTAGTATTTTGGGATTAACACTAAGGAGTCCTGGCAGATATATTTATAATAAAGAGAGTTTAATGTCAAGTACAATACTAAGCCTCTAATAATTCTATTACATTGACGAGGCAACGGCGGCCGAAGTCACCTCCGGTGGGCGGCGTCACTGGAAAATTGAGTGTCACTAAGGCGGCGGCGACGTCACTGTAGCGACGTTACTATGGTGACTTCACTGTACTGTTGTCACTTGTCACTGTAGTGTGTCACTGTGGCCCGCGGTGGTTTTCGGTCGGCGGCGGTCACCGATCGGGAGACAGTGGTGGATGTCAATGTGTGCATAATATTTATCTAATATTACATAAATATATTTAGCAGTGCTTCTATAAAATTTAAGAATTATGTTAAAAACTAAAACCCCTTTTAACGTCTTTACCTCAGCCTAAACCCGCCTAATCTTCAAGGACCTAAGGCCTGATCTAATCATTCCGACTTGGAACGTCTTACGCCTTTTGAAACACGCGTCATCGTATAAATTACTCCTTATGTCCATAAAATTTTATCAATGTTGATTTGCACCTAAAAAAATAAAATAAAAACTGTGTTGTTGATATATGTACAATGGATAAAGAAATAACAACAATGTTTGATGTACCCACCATAAAATTTTACACAAACAAATATTATTTGTGAACGAAACTCACAAACAAAAAAAACATTCACAAACATGGATCGGTATAAAAATGTGTATAAAAGTGGATACAAATATGGGAGAAATAATTCTACTCCCTCCATCCCTTAAAATAGTTAAAATAAAGTGGAAATGTACGATTGTGATTGAGTAAGAGAAATGTAAATAAATGATAGTCACACAAAACTTTCTAAAAATGTAAATGAGAACAATTTTTTGGAACAATCCAAAAAGGAAATTTAGAACTATTAAGAAATACTCCATCCATCCCCTTAATATTGGTACTGAAGAGAGTGATGTGTTTTTTAAGAAAAGTAGAATTATGTGGTTGATAATGAATTGATAATGTGAAAGTAAAGTAAGAATGAATTAAAGCCACAAAAATGTTACGCCCCACACCTCCCAAATAATAAAGACACACGAAGAAGGGGAGTAATAATTCTATTCCCGGGTCCCTCCCCTAGAGTAAGCCCCCACACCTCCGAAATTTGCTGTTCTCAACTGGCGCCGTTCAAGGCAGTCATGTGGCTGCTCTCGTCGTCCTCATCCTTGACTCGGCAGCCACTGAATACCTCTCCTCATGCCTTTCTCAAGTCCTCCTGTTTTTATCTCATAACCCCTTTGCGTATTAAGACCGGAATTCCTCCAAGGCTACCATCATTAACGACTCGAGCCTCTGTTGATGATACAAGGGACCCAATTCCGAATACCCCGTCTCTTCTTCAAGATGAACTGCACACAAAGCAGGCCATCCAGGTGCGGTTTCTGTAGCAAGTAAATACTCTCTCCTTTAAGAACTTAGGTTTCCCTCAGATTTTGATGCGCTTATCTGAACCCTTTTTTCTTATTGTCAAAGAAGAATTATGTTGTTCGGGTTTATGTAGAAATGAAAGAAGATCTCTGAAACACACGATTTTAAACTAAATAAAAAGTATTTTTTAGAGAAATTAAAAAGGAAAGTGAAAAACTAATTTGGGTCCGAATCTGTATTGTTTAGTTTCCTTATTCGGTTACTCCTTTTCCCTTTCCCACCCCCTCCAACAGTCTAACCTGGAAAATTAGGTCTTAAATAATTTTCCGAGTGCTAATTGTGGTTGAATGTTTTGTATTTTAAAATTTGAGCACGCTAAATGTTTTACGCATACTTGGTGACTGTCTTGCCCTTCTTGGAAAATGTGTAATTTTATATTGACATTGATAAAAAAAGTTGGATCGTTGTATAGATGATTTTAAATATCTAATTGATTAACTTCATCTATTATTCTTTGGGTAACCTTAATTTTCTTGCGGGTTAGGAAGTGATGATGTTGATGACCATTTTTAGGAAGTTGATGAGAGTGTGAGTGTTCTTAAAACTGCAGCCAAAACAAGAAAGGTTTCAGCTGAAGAGATTCTGGCAGCATTTTCTGTGATCGAAAAAGCCAAGGTTGAACCTTCGGGGTTTCTTGAAACTCTTGGTGGAACTAAATCGCCTGGAAGAACCTGGATGCTCGTTTTTACCGCAGAGGTTACAGAAATATATACCCCTCCTGCTATTTTGCATTTGATCTTACATTTTCACAGTATTTAAAGCCTTTTATAATTTCTAAATTCTAATGGTGATGGTATATTTTCCAGAAAAGATTGAAACGAGGACGATATTTCCCGATTACTGCTGTTCAAAGATTTGATGCAGATGTAAGCACTCTAACTCATTAAGATATATGCATTTTGATGGATTGCTTAATTTATTATAGCTTTACACTTTTGCATTTGGAGAACAAGATAAAGTGCATGCGTAACTCAAGCGCATTATATTATAAATATCATATTTCTTCGTCCTTTCATTTAGCCCTTTCTGTTTGCAAAATTTGATAAAACTTTATGCAATGTTCATGATACGGCTGAAGTGGACAACTGAAAGATCATGTACGAATTTGAAGAGATAAGAAATGTCATACAGAAGAAAGAGCAACTCCACAGCAACTTGTATTACTGTTAGAAAATAGAAGAGGTTGTTGGTTGTATGAGTAGAATAAGTGATTTTAGTGAGGTGTAATGTAGATGATGTGTTTTAGAGGAGAACTCTTGTCTCTAGAAAAGTAGTATTGTATTGATGTTTCTTGGTTTTGCTTTGTTTGCAAATGAGTACAATGAGTCCTATTTATAGGAGCTAGAGGATCATTCTAGATCCTTATTAAATGCTTTGATTCTAGAGTATTCTACATCTATGTCTAATTACTCTAGATTTTACATAAGAATTCTCTAGTAGAGAATTTTCTAGAATACTTTCTAGCTTTAACTCTCTAGATCATCTCTAGCCTTTTCTACATAGAATATTCTAGATAAATGCATCACTATTTAATACTCCTCCTTGATGCATTTGTCAGTGACTCCAAGCATTCTTCGCAGAAACTGGAATCTGTCTCTTGGCAGGGCCTTCGTGAAAATATCTGCCAATTGCTCTTCTGTTGGGTAGTACTTCATCTCAATATGCCCCTTTGCTTGGACATCTCTCAAGAAGTGATACTTGATATCGATGTGCTTAGTACGATTGTGCTGAATTGGATTTTTAGCCATCGCAATAGCTGACTTGTTGTCGCAAAATATTTGAGTCGCAGAACTTTGCAATTCTCCCATGTCTTCTAATATTCTTTTTAGCCATATAGCTTGGCACGCTGCTCCGGCTGCTGCAACATACTCGGCTTCGGCTGAAGATAGTGCAACAGAATCTTGCTTCTTTGATCCCCATGAGAAAATTCCCGAACCCAGCTTAAATGCGTAACCGGAGGTGCTTTTCATGTCATCTTGAGATCCAGCCCAATCACTATCGCTATATCCAGTTAGTCGTGAGTCAGGGGTTGTTTTGTACCAAATACCATAATTGATGGTTCCTTGTAGATACCTAAGGAGTCTCTTTGCCGCTCATAATGAGTCTCAGTTGGACTTTCCATGAACCTCGAGAGCAAACTTGTAGCATACATGATGTCCGGCCTCGTAGCCGTTAAGTAGAGTAGACTCCCAATCAAACTTCGGTAATTGGTTGCGTCCGTCTGCTTTGACCCATCTTCTTTCTTCAATTTTTCATTAGGAACCAGTGGAGTAACGACGGCTTTGCAGTCTTGCATTTTAAACTTCTTTAGCATGTCCTTAATATATTTTTCTTGAGATAAGAATATGCCTTCTTCTTCTTGACTTATCTCCATGCCAAGGAAGTAGTGCATTAATCCCAAGTCACTCATCTCAAAAGTGTTCATCATGTCTCTCTTAAATTCTTCAATTAATTTGGAATTATTTCCCGTGACAATTAAGTCATCAACATATAGAGAGACGATGAGAATGTCAGATTTACCTTGGGATTTGATGTATAGTGTAGCCTCGTTCTTACTCCTCCTGAACCCTTGACGGGTGAAGTATCCATCAATCTTGCTATACCACGCTCGTGGAGCTTGTTTGAGCCCGTAAAGCGCTTTCTTTAGACGAAGAACTTTTCCTTCTTCTTTGATGAATCTTTCTGGTTGCTCCACATACACTTCTTCTCGTAGCTCTCCATTTAGAAAGGCTGACTTGACGTCTAGCTGATAAATTTTCCATTTCTTCTGAGCAGCAAGAGCTATGAGTGTTCTTATTGTGTCCATCCGGGCAACTGGTGCAAACGTCTCTGTGTAGTCAACTCCCGGTATTTGAGCATACCCCTTTGCAACCAGCCTTGCCTTATGCTTCTGAATTGAGCCATCGGGGTTCAGTTTTGTTTTATACACCCATTTGACTCCAATAACCTCCTTGTTATGTGGAAGATCTACCATTTCCCAAGTATCATTCTTTTCTATCATTTTGATCTCCTCCTCCATTGCTTTAATCCAAACTTTTTCTTTGGAGGATTCGGTGTAGCTATATGGCTCAAAGGAGCAAAAGTTGCATGTTTCATAGATGTCAGTAGACTCATATAGGTCTGTTAGAGTTCTTACCCGAAGAGGTGGGGACTCTGGCGAGGAGTCGTGATTTCTTGATGTATTAGCTTCAAAAGAGGATCTTGGAGTAGACGTGGGGCTTTGTTGATCGTGATTTTCCTCTTCTTGTATTTCCTCTAGTTGGACAGTAGTTGTCTTTCTTTCAACTTTTTCTGTCTCCCAATTCCAAGAGGCTTGCTCGTCAAACTCCACATCTCGACTTGTCACCAACTTCTTTGTCTCGAGATTGTAGATTCGATATCCCTTGGATTTGGAGCTATAGCCAAGGAAGATGCCCTTCTCTGTCTTGTCTTCTAATTTGTGCCTTTTAACAGAGGGAACATGAATGTAGCATATGCTTCCGAAGACCTTCAAATGTTTGGCTGAAGGCTTTTGTCCCGACCATGCCTCAATAGGTGTTTTGTTTAAAACCGCCTTAGTTGGACACCGGTTTAGAATATAGACTGAAGTATATACTGCCTCTGCCCAGAACGTTTTAGGCATTCCTTTTTCAGCTAACATAGACCTTGCCATCTCCATGACTGTGCGGTTCTTCCTTTCGGATACCCCATTTTGTTGTGGAGTGTATGCTACTGTTAGTTGATGCTCTACACCTTCATCTTCACAGAACTTGTCAAATTCTTTTGAGTTGTATTCGGTACCTCGACCGCTTCTCAACTTCTTGATTTGATGACCACTCTGTTTCTCCACGAAGTTCTTGAATCTCTTGAATATTCTAAAGACTTCGGATTTTTCTTGGAAAAAATACACCCATGTCATCCTAGAGTAATCATCGATGAAGAGTATGAAGTACCTGTTCTTCGAAACTGAAGGCGTGCGCATTGGACCGCAGACATCGGTGTGGACAAGCTCTAGTATCTGTTTGGCTCTCCATGTCTTTTCTGTTGGAAATGGTTGCCTGTGCTGCTTCCCAACCATACATCCTTCACATACTCCTTTTTCATCCAGTAGAGGCATGTCTCTCATCATCCTCTTTTGGTGTAGTAATCTCAAGGCATTGAGATTGAAGTGCCCAAATCTTCGATGCCATAGACTCGTATCACTCGGTTGAGCCACCATCGTCTTTTGTGGATATTGCCATTGAATAGGAAAATTTCTATTATTTCCCATTTTTACTTCATCAATTTCTTGATTATTATTCTTGTCATAAATTCGGCAAGAATTTTTCTCAAAGTGCAAGGCATATCCACTTTCAATCATTTGGCCAACACTTAGTAGATTTTGTGCAAGGCGTGGCACTAGGAGAACGTTTCTAATAAAGCGCGTACCTTTCTTTGTATCTATGACAATGGTACCTTTCCCCTTTGCCTCCACCAAATCGCCATTGCCCATCTTGACCTTTGTCTTGATAGAGGTGTCTAAGTCATGGAAGATGGTCTCGTTGGATGTCATGTGATTGCTGCACCCACTATCGATGTACCACTCTTCTTCTTTTGCTTCTATGGCTGAGTGACATGCGTAGAACATGTACTCCTTCTCCTTAAAATCTTCAGAATAGTTGGCCTGATAGTTTCTTCTATCTCTGCAATCTTTTTCTTCATGCCCGAACCTCTTGCAATTTCTGCATTGTGGCTTTCCTCGATGGTAGCAATCTTTCTCTAAGTGATTAGTCTTCTTGCATATTTTGCATGGTGGAAAGTTCGTCTTCCTCTCCTTATTGTTAGAATTACCATCTTTATGTGGTTTAAAGTTTTCACCATTTCTCAAGTGATTCCTTTTAATGTTGAGCTTAGACTGGAAGGCACTTTCTAATGAACTTTCGTGTCGTCTGTTTAGCCTTTCCTCACGTGCTTCTAGCGACCCCATTAATTCAGTGATGGACATTTTTGATAGATCTTTTGACTCCTCAATAGCCGAAACTACTGGATCATATTTTTCAGGGAGACTGATTAGGACCTTCTGGATTATTCTCTCGTCGGTTATGTTTTCTCCAAGAGTTCTCATTTCGTTGACTATATGTATAACCCGAGAGAAATAATCTTTTGCCATTTCAGAATCTCTCGTCTTTAAATTTTCGAGCTCTCTTCTTAAACTTTGTAATTTAATAGTTCTAACTTTCTCATTTCCTTGAAATTCCTCCTTAAGAATATCCCAAGCTTCTTTTGCCGTAGTAGCACGAATTATTCTCGGGAAAATAGTATCACAAACGGATTGTTGAAGAAGATAGAGAGCTCTAGCATTTTGCTGTTTTTGTTTCTTACGTACCTCGAAAGTTGATGCGTCGTCGCTTCCTTTTTCCGGCATGATGATTCCTTCTTCAACAATATCCCATAGATCATGTGATTCTAGGCAAGTCTTCATACGGACACTCCAATAGTCATAGCTTTCTCCATTGAACATCGGAGTTGATACCGAGAAGCTTGATGTCACCATAATGCCCGCTTATGATCGAACAAGCTCTGATACCACTTGTTAGAAAATAGAAGAGGTTGTTGGTTGTATGAGTAGAATAAGTGATTTTAGTGAGGTGTAATGTAGATGATGTGTTTTAGAGGAGAACTCTTGTCTCTAGAAAAGTAGTATTGTATTGATGTTTCTTGGTTTTGCTTGGTTTGCAAATGAGTACAATGAGTCCTATTTATAGGAGCTAGAGGATCATTCTAGATCCTTATTAAATGCTTTGATTCTAGAGTATTCTACATCTATGTCTAATTACTCTAGATTTTACATAAGAATTCTCTAGTAGAGAATTTTCTAGAATACTTTCTAGCTTTAACTCTCTAGATCATCTCTAGCCTTTTCTACATAGAATATTCTAGATAAATGCATCACTATTTAATAAAACTTTATGCAATGTTCATGATACGGCTGAAGTGGACAACTGAAAGATCATGTACGAATTTGAAGAGATAAGAAATGTCATACAGAAGAAATAAGAATCCTGAGCAACTCCACAGCAACTTGTATTACTCTTAATGTCCAAGAAACCAATCCTGTCCTTGGTTAATTGTGTTCCTTTAAACGCCATCCAAGCTATAAATAAATCTGATAAAGTGGATCTGGACTAAATAGGGACCTGATTAGTCAATGTGAAACTGGTCATAAGCTGGTCTAGTGCCATGTGTAGTGCCTCTGAACCATTTAGAAACCACCTGAGTAGCCCCAAGTACTGTTTGCCTGATTTTACAATCCTTTCGGCTTTCGAACAACCCTTGAGAGGTTTAAGTTGTTAATTTTTTTATTGTAATTTCTCGGCTCCTTTTTAATCTTATGACTTCACATTTTGTCCTTCAAAAAAAAGAAATATTTTGGTTGTCCTTTGGCTCTTTGATTGCATGAAAAGAGAAGGGAACTGGGGAAGTATAATTTGTAAATGTCAATAAAGGTCTGCTGAGACCTAGCTCAGAAAAGCCCCGACTTTATGGGCTAGGGACAATAGAACTTTGGGAATAAGGGCCTAGAGAATTTCAGCACATCTCTACTCTCTAGCCCTAGACTTGAGAGAAAATTCCCTATATAGGACTAAAATAATGATTAAGTTCACAAATAGGACTATATTTGTTTTATTCCCAAAATATGACTCATTCACTCCTATTTTGGGAAGTTTTAATCAACTTATTTTTTAGTAGGATTAAATAAGTCCTATTTTGGGGAATAAAACATACTTAATCTAGTTTTTGAACTTTGTGTATGTTTTAGTCTTACATTGAGCAATTTCTATAGACTTGAAGGGTAACCACTGAATTTCAGTTAGAGCCATTATATTTTTTTCCTTTTATCTTTTTAATAGAATAAAAGTTTCATAGTGCAAAATATCATTTAATTGCATGGTCAACAAAGGGTAAGGACAATAATATTACTAATTGAAGAGTTTTAGACAAAAAAGTGATAAAAATGGATTAAAAAAGTCATTGGATTAGCTATAAAAAGGGGAAAACGTAAAATTACATTTCCGGATTTGCCCTTTGATTCTTTTTAATAAAAAGTTAAAAACAAAATACATCATGGTCTTCTAAAGTCTTGAAGATCTGCCCCTGCACACTACCAAAGCTGCCACCCAATCCCATTAGTGTTAAATTGCTGAATGTAAGTTGAGATTCCATATTAAGGTTTTTTAAGTGAAATTTACTCGCATTCCTTATTATGTGATACTAGTATTCCACCCGTGCGTTGCACGGGATGTAATATGTAGTTCTAAATGTAAATAAATAAATATGTACATTTGTGAACGTATAGAATTAAAGAACTCCTTATAGATGACATTGTTTTGCGACTTTTTCATATTTTCTTCTTCATCGCATATCACAAAGTTTAAACCAATGAACTTGTCACCCGTTTAACCGAACGAACATATCACCTTGGAAACGTTGCATATCACAAAATTTAAGAATGATCCGTAAATAGATAAATAGCATTAGTAACATACTGTATAAAGTATATGAATATATTTGATAAAATATTTAATTTTAGGAATAAAAATTGACATAGTCATACATAATCAGTAAGGGACTAAGGTTCAATAATCTAAATTGATTTTATTCCTTTGGTAAACGAAGTAAAAATTTATGAGTCAAATTGTCACTATAGAGCACCAAAAATACAACCGGGAGGAAACAAAAGGGAAACATGTCTGTCGCATAAAGAAACGACTTATCTCAAGCAACAGAGATGCTATTATTTAAAACCCTACATCAAGTTTCTAAATTCATCCGCAATCAGCGCGCCCAAATTCCCCTCCCTTTAGAATAGCTCAAACAACCTGCATGCATATGATAAACAACTTAATTTATCTTTTAGAGTCCCTTTCACACTATTAAGATTAATCCCTTGCATATTTATTAAGAAAATTTTAGAAGTACTGCTTCCCTTGATTCTTTAATGGACTTCTTCTGATTTCTGCAAGTATTTGAATACATGATAAAACTGAGAGAGGCGTGCACAACCAATAAGTTTTAATAATCTAAATTAAGTTTTAGATCTTTTTTCTACATGCTTAAACTCCCTTACAGTTAGTCTAAGATAGTTTCAATCTAGTAAAAGTCTACTTAATGTGTGAGATTGTTTCACTCGAGTCAAGAACTTGCTGATTACATAGTGGGATAGTTCTAGAGATATATTTCATTATTTGGCTCTAAAAAAAGTAACCCAAAAAACTTAAGTAGTTAAAAAAAAACCTTTGAAAAGCTGAAATATAACCTGACCATATAACTACAACTAATAGGGATTAATCAAACCTTAATTATTAGAATAAAAAAAACTATTTTTCATTCGATTAGTTGATTTAGCTGTAAATCTTTCACTTTTTCATGTACATCCGACCTTCTGTTATAACCGAGGCATATATTGTAGCGCTAAATCCTACCAGAATATTTTTATTTTATTATAGTTCCAGCTTAACTATATTTGTTTTATGTTTTTGCATCCCTTTTCGTATAGCAAGAAACTGAAATGCATACCTAAAACCGGCAGCTATACAATAAAAACAACAATAATAAGCAGAATCAGAAGTGCGTTTATTTATAACTACTGAAATTGATCTAAGAGATTTTATTACTTCCACATCCTAAGTCATCAAATGCCTGTAACAATAAGTGTAGTTTTACCTAAACTAATATCAAGGAAAACTTCTAAGCAGCCTGCAAGTAAACAAAAAAAGATAGACCAAATCAATGAAGTTATAAAATGAATATGATTCCAAGATTAGTAAAAAATGGGGAGCAAGAGCAAATTGAAATGAAGTAGATACTGTATTATAATCATGTAATACTTCAATAATTGTAGGTTTGTAAGTTTGTATTTACTGTAAAGTAGAAAAACATAAAAACCAAATATGGGAAAGAACATCTGCCATTAAACTTGATTTAAAGAACTGAAGTTGGATCCCACAAGCTAAAAACGGGTTGTATTCCACAACCTAAAAGCGGGTCTACTGGAGGATTACACAAGCTTTATGGTGTTGGATTCAACACCCTAAAAACGGGTCTACTAGAGGCTAAAACCTACACACACCAATTCTAGGTCCGCTCTTGTGTGAGGCGGGAAAATCGGTGGTGGAAGTCGGATAATAGAAAGGAGATGAAGACGTGAAGCTTTAAAATTCAGTGGCTGTGCAGACGATTAGGAATGAGGAATTGAACTTACAACTCAAAATCTAACCTCAACTCTGGATTCGGCAAATCTGAAATGGCATCGCTTGGTCCAGACAGATCGATCCATATCAATTTGCATACGGCGTAGGTGTTGAAGAAAGCGGACACCTTCTCATATCATGGTGCGACAGAAACCCTGGTAGAACCGAACGGTGCACACTCGATCTAATTCCCTTGCAAACTGTGTTGTTGTTGAGCGCCTTCGGTAATATCAGGACGCAGATACACGAAGGTGAAGAGAACTCGATGAGAAGACAACAGGCGAATTTGAATGTTAGAGAGAAATCAATTAATGAAAATAGAGATGGACTGATAACTGAGAAGTCGATGGGAAGGGAAGAATGGGGCGAAGAAGAAATGGTGATGATAGATGGGAGAGGACGATTGAGATCACTTTGGGTGTGAGCAGGAATACTGTTCAATGAACAGTAAAAAATTGTAGTGCTATTATGTATATATAGATGAGATTCCATGGGATGCGATACTTGAGAATCAAAACTTCATTAACAAAAGCCTCTTTATGTGGTAAGCATATTTCAAGAACTAAAATAACTTTTTCAAATTGTTAGGCTAAGAGGATTGAGAATGGAGTTTATCTAGGGCCATTTGGGAACGTTACATTTGAAGGAAGATTTTCGTGGAACAACAGAATCCTTGCTTTCATATTTGAGCGGATACGGGTAAAGGTCGGACCATTTAACCCGTTTGAGATCAGTTTTAAAGGAAATGACGAGAGGGAGCCAACCAATACCGGTAAATATCCGTTTTTTGTTTGGTTTTACATTGATGAAGAAATAGTTGTTGCTCGAGGAAAAAGTGGAGGGACAGCTTTGTGGGTCCGCTGCAAACGTGTTAACATGTAGTGAAAGCTTTGTTATTGTACTTAGATAAATTCAGGACTTGTAAATTAATAGATAATTGTGATACAGTATCAACTGATAGTGTAATCTGCAACTCTAATCTCTTTGACATTAGGAGTGGTCGAGTGGATTAAAATGCCAAAGTTTGCATTAGTTTATCCTTCGCTTTAACACATGTACTCACGGTCTGTTTCGGTAAAATGATACACTTGCAGGGAATGTCTATAGATAGTTAGAAAATGTCTTATATGATCACTACGTGACATTTCTCTAAAAGCATGTCACACATCATCCTTTTGCCGTCCATTTGTGCAATTTATTGTTTATGAACTGAGTTTTTTACCTATGCTTGAGATGTTTAAGGGGATAATGGTAAGGAAAGGAAGCCATTAGCGCTTTTGCGGTTGTGCCTCTTGGAGAAGTAAAAACGTTTTGACATGGAAAGAATGTGAAACTTCATTGACATTATTCAGTGCTGTCAAAGAATCAAAACACTGTTTTAGAAGAAGTGTTTAGTTCTTGCTTTGGAATGAAGCAATCTTTTGAGAATTCTAGGAAAAAGCACTTTTATTACCAAACAAATGTTATACTCCGTACTACGTACTATCCTGTCTCAAGTAAATACTCCCTTCGTCCCATAAAATTCTTTTCACTTTCCTTTTTAGGTCGTCCCAAAAAATTCATCCCACTTACCATTTTTGGACAATTTGTGTTGTTCACATTCATTTCACTTTTTTCTTACACAACAACAATCATACATTTTCACTTTATTCCGCGTTCTCAGTATGTGTGCCAAGTCAAACTGGGAAGAATTTTCTGGGACGGATGGAGTACAATTAGGGGATCTAACAAGTAGAAAATATGGAGTAGTCATATATTTTCTTCTGCATATGACTGGAAAAAGTTTTTCACTTGATCCAATTTTACTAGAGTAATGTTTTCAATACTTTATTAGCAATACTCAAAGCCAAAGTAATGCATTTGTTAAGGCAGCTCAAATATCCGTGAAATCATCTGATTTGAAATCCACACATTGTTTTGTACTTTTTCCTAAGTTAGATTTTTTTTGCTTATACTCCGTATATTTATGTTTTACGTATGTTTTAAGAGTGTGATGTTGAAAATATTGGTATCTATGAATTTATTGAATAGTGGCATTGATATTAATAATAAAGATTTGCTGGAAAAAACGATGACTATTTTAGTTGGACCAAAAAGTGATTACACAGGCCGGGGGAATTAATATAAGCAATCATCACGACATACTATTTTTCTGTAATTATTTACGGAGTAATTGGTTTTCTTTCATGCACGCCATCTCAATATAGATTGCAAGTATCTCGATTTGAATTGCTTCTTCTTCTTTGCATGTCGCAAGGCAGATTTAAGTAAGATGGGTATCGGAGTTTGGTCAATATAGCCTATAGGGCTTGGGGTGGAGTTCAGTAAATTGCGAAGCGTCGAGTGGGGTTGGGCTACAACAGCTAGGTGGTAATTAACTCGATGTTTAGTGGGATGATCATTATCTAACTTTATATGATGGAGAGGTACCTGGTAATTAAGTACTATTGAAGAGTTTAGTTGGTAGATGGGCCACTAATAAAGGGTATTTAGTTTGGATCAAATACAACATGAGTTCACGAGTTCGGAGTGAAATCGGAAATGTTTGTAAATTTCATGTTAATCTGTACTTTTTTACTTGATACATTATAAATGAAGTCGGGACACTAATTTTAGAACTAAAAATAATATTTTCATTTAGTAATATTCTCACATAAGGCCAAAAATATTCATAGATATTACCGATATTGTTAAATGCTTTAGCGCGACATGAGATGTTAAGCTACATACTCGATGATTAGAACAATTGTACTTGAAGGTGGAGGTAGTTACCCAAAAATCCGTAACTCCGTACATTCTTTTCAACTACTGGGTTGAGACTTATTGAGAGTTCAAGCTATGGTTTGCCATAAGAGCCAAGCAGGGGCGGACCCACCCTAGGGCTAGGGGGTGCCCGAGCCCCCCCAGTGATTTTTTTTTTTAAATATATATATATTATTAATTTTTTTAAGTTGGGCCCCTGCAGTCCAAGTCCAATCCCAATTTCCCTTCCCCTTTTCCGGCCCAAATCCCCTTTTCCCGTTCCCAGGCCCTTTCCCATTCCCGTTCCCCCCTGGCCCCCCTTTCCCAAATCGTTCGGCACTTCCCCACTTCCCCACTTCCCCCAATCGGCCACTCCCTCCCCCCTTTTTGCCTTTCCGGGCCTCCGGCTTTCCCGACCCGGCGACCACCGCTGGCCCACGCCCACGCGGCCACGCCACGCCAGGAACTTCCTCCATCCACGCCAGCCGCCAAGAACTTCCTCCATCCACGCCGCCAGTCCGCCACGCCGCCACGCGGCCAGCCGGCCACGCCAGGAATTCCACCGACCAGGCGACCACCGCCCGGTCCGCCCGTGAGTCACGCAGTGCGGCCAGTGCCGATTGCCGAAGCCCGAAGGCCGAAGGTATGTTTTAATTTTTTTTTAATTGTTGATTACTTGATTTGTTGTGTTGTTGATGAATGATTTATGTTTTATTGAATCATTGATTCGTATATGTTGTGTGACTTATCACTTATGGTTTAAATGTTGAATACTTTAATTGTTCAATTTTGAAAAATTATACTCATATTATTTCAAATTTCAATTGTAGTTGGTCTAGGTTGTGTTACAAACAAATGAACAATGGCTATGTTACGATATTTTTCTAACGTAATTGTATTTAAATTTATTATCACTATTTTCATGTTGACATTTTTCTCGAGGTACTTTTAAAAGTTTTATTCCTTACGTAATTGTATTTAAATTTATTTATTTTGTTATTGTAATTAATTACGTTTTTTAATATAATGTTAGGTTATTGATCGTCTTATTCAAGAGATGAATAATCGCTTTACCGAGTCAAGTTCAGAGCTACTAATGTGCATAGCATCGTTAAGTCCCAAAGATTCATTCTCCAATTTTGATGTGAAGCGACTACTTCGTCTTGCTAATCTATACCCAGATGATTTTAGTTCAAGAGAAAAATTTGAACTAAATGAACAACTTAGGATGTTCATTACATTTGTCAAATCATCTCCACGATTTTCAGGCCTACAAAGTATTGGAGATTTGGCAAAAACATTGGTTGAAACAGAGTGGCACACAACTTATAAGTTAGTGTACCGACTCATCCAATTGGCATTGGTTTTACCCGTTACAACCGCCACAGTTGAAAGATCTTTCTCGACGATGAAGTTTATCAAGAATGATTTGCGCAACAAGATTGGAGAAGAATATTTGACAGATTGCTTGGTGTGTTACATTGAGAAAGATGTATTTGTTAAAATTGAGAATGAAGTCATAATGAGGCGATTTCAGAGTATGGCACCTCGAAGACAAAGATTGCCGCGACTCAATGATTGTCCTTCATTTGCCGCGTCAGGTTCTAATCAAAATTAAGGTACTCTTTAAGTAGTTGTTTTATTTTAATTTTATAGTTTTGTTTATTGCTATATTCGTGATGCCTATGATTTTTTTTCTAGACTACTATATCATTTCTTTGTTAATTGTGCCCCTGCGAGTCACGTGTCCTGGTTCCGCCACTGGAGCCAAGTAAACAACCTTAATTGTCATTTCATTTCCACATAAGATGATCTCAAATAATTTTCAAATCTATTAATTTCTCCTCGTCCATGATACTCGTATTAATTTACCAAGATTTTTTGTAAAAGCAATGGAAGTTGAACTACTGCAATGGAGTATTAGCAACTATGATGGAGTAATCACCCGTGCTAGCTAGGAATGGACTTGGGCCGGTTCGGGCCCGGTTCGGGCCTGGGCCCGGCCGGGCCTCGGTTCTAGGAAGGCAGGCCCGGAACCGGCCCGGATAACCCCGGGTCCGGTTCGGTTCGGGTCACCCGCCCGGTTCACGGGCCGGGCCGCCCGGCGGGCCGAGCCGGGCCTATTTAATTTTTTTTTTAATTATTATATAATTAGAATAAATCTTATTACAATTACAATATATTATATTCGAATTGAAGTATATTTATTTCAAATAAGAAGTACAATTGAGAATTAGGATGAATTTAAAAAATGTAATACATTTTGTAATAAAAAATCAATCGGACTCTCCGCCTTCGGTTGTTTCCTCCATAAAGTGGCGGGAGGGAGTGATGGTAATTTCTTGAGTTCTTCGTTGGGCCTTCAACCAATCGTGAAAGCAAACTAGTGTCTCAAGAGAGCTCGGGCTCAACCTCGTTCTAAAATCGGTTAGGACGTTGCCGGCCGCACTGAATTCTTGTTCCACGGCAACGGTTGATATCGGCATTGCTAGTACGTTAATGAGATATGTAGCAATTAACTAATATGAGAAATGTAAAATTGTAGCAATTAACTAATTAACTAATATGAGAAATGTAAAAATGTAGCAATTAACTAATTAACTAATATGAGAAATGCACAAATGTAGCAATTAACTAATATGACAAATGTAAAATTGTAGCAATTAACTAATTAACTAATATGAGAAATGTAAAAATGTAGCAATTAACTAATTAACTAATATGAGAAATGCACAAATGTAGCAATTAACTAATATGAGAAATGTAAAAATGTAGCAATTAACTAATTAACTAATATGAGAAATGTAAAAATGTAGCAATTAACTAATTAACTAATATGAGAAATGCACAAATGTAGCAATTAACTAATATGAGAAATGTAAAAATGTAGCAATTAACTAATTAACTAATATGAGAAATGTAAAAATGTAGCAATTAACTAATTAACTAATATGAGAAATGTACAAATGTAGCAATTAACTAATATGAGAAATGTAAAAATGTAGCAATTAACTAATATGAGAAATGTAACAATTAAGTAGTTTAACTAATATTAATATGACAAATGAAACAATTAACTTTAACTACTTTAACTAATATTAATATGAAAAATGAAACAATTAAGTAATTAAATAGATAAACGAGAAGTGTATATATAAATCAAATGTATAACTATATATAGTATATATAAATATATAATGTGTAAATATATTATAAGTAATATATAATATAATGTATAACTATATTATAAGTAATATATAATATAATGTATAACTATATATAGTATATATAAATATATAATGTGTAAATATATTATAAGTAATATATAATATAATGTATAACAATATATAGTAT